ATGATTCCAGCATCGTGCTGACTGCTTGAGGCCATAGATGCTCCTCCTGAGTCGGCACACCATGTTCTCCTTACCAGCAACTTCATATCCGGGGGGCTGTCGAATGTAGATCTCCTCTTCGATGGTACCGTGTAGGTACGCCGTTTTAACATCCATGTGTTGCACTACCATACGTTTCTTCCCTGCTACTGCCAGAAGCGCACGTAGAGTTTCCTGCCGCGTTACCGGAGCGAACACATCCAAGTAATCAACACCGTAGCGTTGATTGTAGCCTTGCGCCACCAGTCTTGCCTTATGCTTCACGACTTCCCCACTTTCGTTACGTTTTAGCTTGAACACCCACCGTGACCCAACCACTTTTCTTCCTTCCGGTAGATGAACCAGCTCCCAGGTTCCATTCAAGTTGTGTGGTCCAATTTCCGAATCCATCGCTTCCTTCCATTTCGAAATCTCCAACGCCTTCCGGTAATCGGTTGGTTCAAATGAAGAAAACTCAGCGATACCCACAACAAAATTGTCATACCGTCTTGGTAGAACACCTCTAGTTCTCCTTTGAATACGCTGCAATGTTTGCTCCTCCTCTTGGCGATCACCTTCATCACTGAAACCTTGAAAATCTTCTTCTGACGGATCATCCGCAGAACTCCAACCTTCAAAGTCATCAGAAGAAACATCATCGTCTACAGCATTTCGACCAGTCGTCACCGGGTTGATCGGGATAACAACGGAATCATCCAACTCCTCTGACACAACCTCAGATTTCCGTTCACCCAATCGTTCCGATCCATTACCAAGCTCAATGAACATCGCATCTCTACTTATGGTCACACGATTAGTAACCAAATCGAGAAAACGATATCCCTTATGGTCCTCAGAATAGCCAACGAAAGTTAGTTTAATAGACTTCTCATCTAACTTAGATCGTTTTGCATCAGGTATGTGCACATAAGCATCACATCCAAATACACGAAGATGTTCAAAACTTGGCTTGCGTCCTGTCCAAAGTTCGAACGGTGTCTTCACTACAACCCTGGATGGTAGCCGGTTTTGCAGGTAAGTTGCCGTCAAGACAGCCTCGCCCCAATACAGTTTTCCTAATCCAGCATCTGCTAACATACAAATCGCCATTTCCTGTATTGATCGGTTCTTGCGCTCGGCGACGCCGTTTTGTTGCGGAGAATACGGCATGGTGTACTGCGCCTTTATGCCCTCAGCTTCATAAAACTCCCGCAGCTCACGGTTGACGTACTCGCCTCCGCCATCGGATCGAATGACGCGTGGCTTACGCCCGAAACAATTCTCCACCCACCGAACATACAGCTGAATCTTTCCTGAGGCTTCTGATTTATTCTTCAGCAGATACACGGTTGTGTACCGGCTGAAATCGTCAATGAGCGTCATCAGATAGCGATTTCCCGATGGTGTAGTGGTTTCCATTGGGCCACACAGATCCGTGTGAACCAACTCCAGGGGCTGTGAAGATTTCCGCTCAGTCACAGGAGGAAAAGGCTTTCGCGCAAGCTTGCCCTTCATGCAACACTCGCAGACGATGCGAGCCCCACAATCATGTAAAATGAAACCACTTACCAGCTCATCTGCTACTATTCGCCTCAGCACATCAGGGTCTCGATGGCCAATCCGACGATGCCAAGTATGTTGGCACCGCTCATGATGTTCACCGTCAACTTTCATTGAACGTTCATAAATCCGCAACCGGTATAGGTTGCTAACTTTATCTGCAACTAGCACTGATTCACCCTTTTCATTCTGGATCACACACGACGTTGCATCGAATTTCGCCGCGAATCCATTCGCAGCCAGTTGACTCACCGAAATTAAACCACCATCCAGTTCCGGCACGTACAGTACGTTTTTCAAAGTTACTTCTACCCGGTCACCACGTCCGTTCTCACCGAAAACGACGCCCTCACCGACACCGCACACTTTCGTTTTATTACCGTCGGCAAGCGTAACTCTCGAATAGTCACTAGCGTTCATTGACTCGAAAAACGATCGATCACTCGTCATATGACGCGTCGCCAGTTGACGTTTTTTTTACTACACTCGCTTCGTTGTCGTGCGCGACAGTCTGTTTGTATTCGAACACTCATGCTCTACCGTCGTCTCTCTCACACAACACGAGCGGTAGAATAACATTCGAGCTAAAAGAAAATTATCAAAATAGCTATCATATGACATGTGTGATTTCGTTGTAATTCCTCAATTTGGTGTAAATCAAACCATTTCTGTACAGAAATATTATTATTATGACATCATTGCTTGCTATTTTCAGAATTCACACAAGCACACCATCAGCAGCTCTTATTATGAGAAAAACTAAAATACATACATTCGTGACGGTCTTCGGCGACAGTGTCGTATGACAGAGCCTGTCATACGACATTTTAGTTTGGTACTGTACTATGATAGCTTGCTTTGCAAGTGTCGGTGGCAAAGGCAGTCAATTATCACAGAAAATGTGTCGACAACCGTGACCGCTTACAAGACTGCGCGTCGCACCACTGTCAATTACCCAACAGCCCGGCATCGCATCACCAGCCATAAAACACACGGATCCCCCAGAACCACCCGCGTTATGGGCCTGTTTTGCTTTAGGATTTCCACCTCTGTAATTATCATCCTTCCGATGCCACTGTTTCTTCTCATCTTCACAAATATTCTTCTTCGACTGCAACTTCTTGCAATGCTTTCGAAAATGACCGGGTTGTTTACAGAAATAACACACTTTTTCTCTTCTGTTTTCACCTGCATCGAGCTTCATCGCTTTCATATCGTTCGACAAAACATCACTTCTCTCCCGCCGTTGGTTGTACTCATCCAAAAGGCGAGCTTTTACCAGCACAACTGTCCAATCAGCATCTGCCCGGCACTGTAAACTTTGCACCAAGCTTCGATACGACGGAGGAACACTACGGAAAATCATTGCTATCTGCAACGACTCGTCCAAGTTTTGCCCCGCAGCAATCAACTTATCAAACAACTCTTCCATCGTGTTCAAGTGTTCTTCCATGTTCCCATTTTCAGCCATATTTGCACTACACAGTTGGTTTAGATAATGCACAACGGTGGACATTGTTGCTTTTTCGTGGTGCTCCCGTAGAGCATTCCACATCCCACGAGCACTGTCTGAATTCTTCACCAACTTGAATTGACTTTCATCGAGAAAAAGTCCAATGTTCGCACGAGCTTTCCGATCGCGACTCTTCCATTCTTCCGTCTCCGGTTCCGGCTTTGCAACACTTATGACATCCCACAAATCCTCCTTCTCGAGCAACCATTCCATTCGTTGCTTCCAAGAAGCCCAGTTCGTTTGACTCAACTTGGGGAATGAAACTTTTGCACCGTCCGCCATTATGAAAAAAAAAAACGGCTACCACACGTTTAGAGTCCGCGAGAAAATAAAATAAAAAACACTAGAACAGTTTCTTTTTCAGTTCAGCACTTTTCTTCACTTCTCCTGCGCTGGGCCCATAACCTGTGGACAAAACAACCAGCCAACAGGAAGCAACACATGCGGAAAAGGACGAAAAAGGAACTTCGGATAATGAAACTTAGAACAACCGATTACAGTACTACATAATTATATTTACGTCCAACATACACGAGTTGTTGTCTGCTATTGAAAGAAATAAAACAAACATCGCTACACACTGAAAAATATCAGATCAGTATCTCGAATTCAACTACCTTACCAAGGTGTGTGTAGATAGGTGGTCAATGATATTCTCCCACAGAGTTTGCTTGAAAGGGAAGATGAGTCCGAAGCAGTCCCAGAGCAAGTCATCAGCGGTTGCAGTATTGGTTTGTTTATAATCTTTTGCTGCCAGCTGCTCTAACAATTTCAGTCGAAAGAATTGTCAAAAACTGTTTTGAAACGCTTTTACAAAGCTCCAATCTTCTCTAGTGAGAGCGAGTATTGTCGGCAACCAGTTTTCTTCGGCAACCGTTCCATTTGAACTGCATGTCAATCTGCTGTTCTATTATCGGCAACTCGAAATCAGCTACAACTTGTAGTGCGTGTGTTTCATTTCAAGAAAACCCTGCTAGATTGCTTTTTCTCAGTGGTAAAAATATAGCCAAATTGAAGCTGAAAGCATAAAGAATAGTTTGCATGCATTCAGCGAAGTGTTTTCGTATGAAAATCCAGTGAAAATAGTGTTTCAATTTGGGTTGCCGAAAATAGTCTGTCATGCCGAAGCCGTCATTTCCCCTATATGTATATATATTCCAGTTCAGCTGCATCCGTTGGTGCGTTCTTGGTCATTGCATCCAATAACTCGACCGCCTTCAAGTGCTTCTCCACGCGGAACTTCCAATTTTCAAATCCAGTCCCGGAAAACGGAATTATTACGTGGACAGTTTCCTTCCGTGAGTCGTCCATAACCTCTTGAGAGTAAATAAACAACAAACAGATCATAGCCCGTTTGGAAACGGGAACAATTTATTGTTATATTGGATTGATCTTGTGGAGTGTTACAATTGGCATGATGATTGTTACTTGAAATCAATAGCGTTGCTAAGGACTTGCTATCAACCAATGAAGTCTTCGGTAGCTTCGATTTCGATTACATCAATGCCACAACAAATTCCACAACAAACTTTCAAGAAGCTGCTCAAATGTCATCCAGTACTGGAAAAATCTATACATTCACCCGTATTCTTGTTTTCGTTCAAACCGTATTTTCCATACAAAAGAAAAGTTTTTTTGTATGGAAAATACGGTTTGAACGAAAACAAGAATATGGGTGATTATCTGAAATGATAAAACTATTCTTATTTTCAAGGCGTGCAGAGTAAGCTTGAACCCCCACTTCCTAGCCAATGCAAAACAGGGAACAGAAGATTTCACACTGCCGTCCAATATAATCAAAATGACGATAATGTTAACCCAAAAATGAACGGAAAAATCCATCACAACAGCACGATTCAGGGACATTTCTTTCCAAAAACCAGTGTCGTACTCTCTCTTGAATTCTTCAGCTAATTTATTCAACAGATTTTCCGGGGAGATATGACCTTGAGGGTAATAAATGACTACAACGCTTCGAAAACAAAACCGAACGATTAAAAATTAAAGCACGTGTTGCTCGTATAGCGATCGTGCTTCCAAGAAATCTAGATCCTTCTCCAGAATCTCCCGCACGAAAAAGAAAACCTATCTCCTAAAAATAACAAAGTCTCAACCTTCTACGTACACAAATCCTAACCTAATAAGCTGTAACCGAATGCGTAGAGGACCTAATAAAAAAAATGAAAATCAGAACAGAAAATCGAATGGCACCTTTGTAAGAGCTCATGTGGAACTAGAAGTTTAGTTGGTTTTGGGTAGGGTAGCAGGCGAATTTTATTGTCATTTCATCAGACTGCGGTTTTTTGACTTAGTTTTCGGTCTTTTTGTTTGAGTTGTACTCTCGCGCTTCAGTTGAACTGAACCATTTTGGGATCAATATCGTTGAAAATATCTCAAACTTCCGAGTGATAGTATCCGCTCAGTGTAAATCAAACGAGGAGATGTTACTTTGTCCGCTTAAAATAAATGTATCTACCTAAAATTGTAGTGCTTCCGAGGACAGTCTCTATGGAGCTGAGTATATAAGCAATGCACTTCTGTGTTGTATATAAACTTTTTCACGATTTAATTGCACCATTTTGTTTTTGTTTTAGTTTGATTGACCCTGGATCAAAACACAAAGCTACACACGTAATTCTAACAGACAACGCCGCACACAGTTCCTGTCCCTCGCACTCCCATCCGCAGACATCAATCAATCGCAGACACTCACAAACGAAAGTTAAAAAAAATATAAATGAAAATGCCACAGCTATATAGACAACCAGATTCAACAGATTCGAACTTTTGTCCGTACAAATATTTCAGTTTTGTTGCTATTGTTTGTGCAGTGCCCGTTCGGCGCTGGATTCGGCTTACCGCACCGGATCCCGCAGGTGAATCAGCTCCCTCAGGAAGTGCTTGATGTGATCGTACGTCGCAAAGCTGATCCCGACGGCGATGGGGCCCTTGATCCAGTTCATGCTGAGTCCCTTGTAGAAACCCTTGATTAAACCTTCCTCCCTGTTTCGGAAAGAATTGGTTATTGTAAAATTTTCTTGGGGAATTTCACACGAAACCAACCTGTAGATTTTGACCAGTGTCGTTCCGATCGTCAGATAGCGATCGGCACAGTGTGCCGTCACGCCGGTAGTCTGCATCCGCCGTCGGACAATGTCCAGCGGGTAGCTCGAAGACTGACCGATCACGCCGGCCGTGGCCCCGAACACTAACGATATCACAGTATTTGGACTGCTGTCACCGGTGCGTTCTGCAAAGGACGTTCGTGGTTCAGTATGTGTCGTTCAAGAAGGTTTCCTTCTGCAATAGATACTCACTGAAATACTCCTTCTTGAGAGTATCGTATGTGAAGAACGACATCCCGGCGTACGGAATGACACCCAGGATGGTGGCCCAGTAGCCCCGGTAAAGCGTCCGAGGGCCTTCGCACTGCCAAATCTTCACAAACACCTCCCGAAGCGTCCGGTAGCCGCTGTACTTGTCCGTCACGGCCATCCGTGCCCGGGCCAGATCCAGCGGGTAGGTCATCGACTGCGACGTGATCCCGGCCAGCGATCCGGCGATAAATCGCCGTACTTTGGTGCTGGAAAATCACACACTTTGTTAGCTCTATTGGAGTAACCTTAAGCTGACCACTCACTCTTCGTGCAGGTCGACGTGCAGCAGCTTCTTCCACTGCTCGTGCGCCGTGAACTGGATCGCCGAATAGGGAATGATCCGTGCCATCGTGGCCGAGTTGCCCCGCCAGAGGGCCAGGAAGCCCTCCTTGGTGTACGTGTTGCGCACAAATTCGAATGCCGCTCGGAATGAGTAGGGGACGTGTTTGCTGGAAGTTGAGAATCGTAAGTAATTTATAGAATAACCAACGACATTGATACAGAAAGGAAAGCGAACCTACTTGATCTGAAAGTTGATCTTGGTCCTATCCAGCGGGGCGATTGTCGTTTTGGCCAGGGCACCGGCGATGGCTCCGGCAACCAGACTGGTGAGGACTATCTCTCGATTGTGTAGCCGTTGGTGGTGGGGATTCGGGATGCCACTACTGCTACTACTAGGACTACTGCTACTACTATTATTACTACTACTGCTGCTGCTGCTGCCTAGCGATGATGACGACGACATTGACTTTGGTGCACTGGTGAATGACGAGTCTGGATTTCGAGAGAAAGAAAATATTTTGTAATATTAGCTATATTTGATTATAACGTACTACTGTACTGTAACAGTTTATATTAGAAAAAAGGGCCATGATCGGGTTTGTTGGTTATTTGGGAATGTACTCCCTAAGCTAGTATAATACAATACATTAGATCTACATTTTTAACGTTCAAAATCATAATGACCTAACTGAAAATGATCAATCCCTTTCGTCGATTGTTTCTTTCCATTCCAGATAGTGTTAGTCTCCCACTCACCACGAGTTTGGATTGACGGCGATTAAAGCGAGGTAGTCAACGAGTTCGTGTATTCGGGCTCGCTGGTCACCGCCGATAATGACACCAAATGCTGATTAGGTAGTCCTCTCCGACCACTATACGTTCGTGGATGACAAACTCGCTCTTGGTGATTTTGAACGGAAAGTTTTGCGTATTATCTACGGTGGAGTTCTGATGGAGACCGAGAATTGCACCAGCTGCTGGGAGAACCAGCAATTGGCGATTACGATGGTCTGGGTTCGTAAAATAATGCCTCGATTTGAACAAGACGAAGACTGAGGCGCTCAGCGTTCGAGGTGGATCAACTAAGCGAAATGCGTTGTGCGGAGCCTTCTACATCCCCTATCTACATTCTCTCTCTCTCTCTCTCGAGATTTGAGGTTAGAAGACGTGGTCTCTGATGCAAAAAAATCTAACAGCTAGCTAAGTTGGTTCGTTGTCCTTATTAAGGAGATTTTCAGCCAGACACTAGTTCATCTCCGGGAACCACTGAAAGAGCTAACATAAAGTACTGGCAATCACGCAAAAGTGTTCAGCATCGATTGAGGGTGATACAAATATTTGCGAGCTTTGAGACTCGTTTCGGGTGACCTTTGCAGGTTCAGTTTGCCCCAGGGTTTTCCTTAATTTCGTAAAATTTGATGGTGTTTTTCTCCCAATTCGCTTGTTTGTACCAAGGGTGATGAATTTTACCAGCTTTAGCTCAAAGATCGAGAAAACAAGTTAGTTATATTTATTAAAGAGGCATTCAGGCATTGGCTCGTTCACCTCTGAGCTCAAGAAAGCAAGGTTGCTTCGACTCACTTAGCTATAAAAAATGTTTTTCGGAATTATGAAATCGTCAGATGTTATGCCATGGACTAATATTCCAGGGAAAAATTCCCGAATTTGAGAAAAGTAAAGATTGGATTCACTCAGTTTATTGGTACTACTCCGAGACTGAATAAAATTTTCGTCAATTTCCTCATTTTCCGGCAGATTTTTTAGGTTTTCCACAGGAAACCATGAGACAAATTTTACTCATCGCTGAGTTCACTTTTGGCGATTATGAGTGAACTAAACTCATATAACTCGACCGTCGATAAGTTCGGACGTACTTTTATTTGGCTCCGCGTTTTTAATTGGTGCGTTTTTTTTTTTTACCTTCTGTGATTCAGTTATTTTTACTTGCATACATCATGGTTTGCGAAATTTGTGCTTGCGACACTTCTGTAGACTCGGTCATGTGGACGTGTGCAGGTTGCCCAAGAATGTTACACGCTACCTGCATTGGGGTAACTGTACAACGGAACTCACTTCGCAGGAAGGACAGGAAGGTATCGGACTTTACATCTTACATACTACCATGCTGCGAGTCCTGTCAAGAGCTGTTACAGGCAATCGATTTTAAAAGCATTGCTGAACAGCAAAAATCGATCGAAAAGCAACTGAATGGCAATGCGGAGGTGATGCACCGGCTCACGTTTCAACAAGAAAAACCGAACCTCGTTCATGAAGCGATCGATGGCATAGAAATTTTGCTGACTAGTATGAAAAATGAGTTGGCCGCAATTAATAAAAGTAACAGTTTAGCTGGCAGTGTCGTTGCCATAAAAAACCACATTACCTCGCTACTTGATACTGCAACGATGTCAACAAAGGATAATGTTAATGTGGCGGTCAAATCAGTGACGTCAGAGCTATCAACTGACCTACGTAACTTAAATGATGATGTTAGCCATCTCACCCAGCTCTCTTTAGATACCGCGGCAAGTTGCACAATGCAAACAAATTCAATGTTGGAGCTTGAAATACTCGATGAGGTGAAGGCGCTGTCTGCCAACATAGCACACCATAGTGCATGGCTACCATCTTCTCCCGACTTACACCCCAGTTTGGAGGTAGAATTGAACAAGGAAAAGGACGCTGATAGCTCCGGGTGGCGTCTTATAGGTACGAGGAGAGTATGGAAGGCCGATTGGTCTGAATACGATGCGCGGAAATTAAGACGTTCGAATCAGCAAAAACAGGCTGATAATGCAAAAAGGCGACGCAAGCGACAAAGCAGAAGGTATCAAAATATCAACAACTTTAGATTGCGAAATCACCGCAACAATCACAACAACAATAACAACAACAATAACAACAACAATCGGAGGACAATTTTCGGCTTCAACAATAACCACGGCGACAATAATTACAATAGATCCAATTTGCTCCCCACTGATCGAGAGCTTCTAACTGTGGCAAAGGATCGCTTCTCCAAACCTCCGGTTAACTATACACCGTCGATGCGATTTGAAAAAGGTGAAATATTAAACCCTTACCCGGTCAGCGGTACTGCGAATTCACATTGGCTGGCTAACCCCTCTACATCGACCGAAGCGTGTCTATGTAGACATTCGTGTTTCCGTCGAAATTGACGCTCTCTCCAGAGGAAGTAGATGACAAAAGTGTTGCAGAACCGACCGATTTTCAAGATTTGACGACCTCTCAGGACCAAGAAGAAGAGGTAATTAATTTTAATAGTTTTAAGTGTTCAGGGAATACAACATCGCAATGTACAAATGAAAGCAAGGAGCTACTCGTCTATTGCCAAAATTTTAACAGAATGAAAAGTGCTTTCAAAGTGAACGAAATTTATAAACAAGTATCAGCATGCAATTTTCATGCAATTTTAGCAACATAAACCAGCTGGGATGCTGGAGTAAAGAACGAAGAAGTTTTCGGTGATCGATTCAATGTTTTTAGGGATGATCGTGATAAAACGTTATCCAACAAAAAAAGTGGTGGTGGTGTCATAGTAGCAGTTAGTGCTGACTATGAATCTGAACAAATATCATCTTGTAAGTGTAAGGAGTTTGATCACGTTTGGGTCAAATGTTTCATTGGAGATCAAGTTCATATTTTTGCGACAGTATATTTTCCTCCAGAATATGCAAAGCAAGATTCATACGAAATTTTTTTTAAACTCGCTGAAAATATTATTTCGAAATGTGAGGCGGAAGCAAATGTTCACATATACGGAGATTTTTACCAACGCTCAGTGAATTTTATTGTTGATGATGACAACGAATCTTTGTTGATACCGATTATAGGAGAAAATGAAACACTTCGTACTCTGTTCGACAAAAGTGCAGAAATTGGACTCAACCAAATAAATCACATAAAAAATCAAAATAACTGCTACTTAGATTTGTTATTCACTAATATGACTGATGATTTCTGGGTATCAGAGTCACCCACCCCTCTTTGGAAAAACGAAGTGTTCCACACTGCTATTGAATACTCCATATTCATACATGAAAAAAACGGCAACGTTGGATAACAATTTATCTGAAACATACTTCGACTTTCATAAAGCAAAGTATGTACTTCTCAAAGAAAAATTAGCCTGTATTGACTGGCAAACTACAATACGTAATCTTGACATAGAACAGGCAGTGGACACATTTTATCAAATTATTTATAAAATTCTGCAACAGACGGTACCCTTGAAGCAGAGGAAACCCACAAAGTCCAAGACACCAGTTTGGTACAATAAAAAGGTTATCAATCTTTAAAATAGGAAACAGAAAGCACATAAGATTTATAAAAGAAATCATAGTGAAGAAAATCTTACATTTTATCTAGAAGTCTGCGATCAACTGAATGAAGAAATGAAAAATGCATATGAAGAACATAATACCAAGGTAGAAAATAATATTAAAACAGATCCAAAATCATTTTTTAACTATGTTAAAGAGAGACAAAAATCGAAGAACTTTCCTTCTAAAATGCAGTTAGATAACAGAACCGGGACCACATCTGGTGAGATCAGTAATTTATTTGCGGACTTTTTTCAGAACATTTACACAACTCTAGGAATTTGTTTTACATTAACAATCAAAGAACAAACTATGCTAAAAATGGACCTTTGAATAGAATTATGACCTGCTATAACGCATATTCCCAATCAATTGATGTAACAATGAATAAAATAACACTAAAAAAAGCATTCTTTTCAAGGTTAGCCAGGCAATAATATTTAAGACATAGTTAATAAGCATTCATTGTAATTGGTCTACGATTGATTGACGACATAAATAAATAAATAAATAAATTTGGGTCGTTATTGGACTATAGATACTATAGATTCCATACATAAATAGATATGTTTGTTATGTAAAACCTGTCAATTTGGCTTATAGAGAGTTACAATCCACGATTTTATGATTCTTGAGCTCTCACAAATAGCAAAATCGCAGATTGTGACTCTCTGAAAGCTAATATGACAGGTTTTTATGTGACCAAAAGAACAAAAACCCGAATTAATCCACCTATGGTGAGATCTAACCCTTCTTACAGTCAACTCTCCATATCTATGTTACCACTTTGTTTCTATATGACGATGGTTATTTCTAGAAACACTGGAATAAAAACATGAATTTGGCAACAAGATAAACATCAAAGCAATCCTGGCATCACTTGCATTTGTAACTGCTTGCGAGTGACTTCGCCAATGCACCGACGAGCGAGTTCATGAGTGATTGTTAAACGATTTTAATACTCCTCCCTAATTGGGTTCTTTAAGGGTATTGAGGTAAATGCATATTCGTAATCTGCATTAAAAATGGAACCCAAACCCAAAATTTCATCAATTTTGGTACACTGGAACTATTTTAAATAAGTACGATTACATTTGCAAAAATCACCTTATTAGCGTCCCTCGGTGTCACTTTGTATGGAAGCGAGCC